TTTTAGAAACATATTACGTTCTTCTTTTTAGTTCTCTACCAATAAACCTGCACTAGCATCGTGTATACAGTGTAATTATAATTATCTTTGTTCCTCGTACGTCTTTCCTTATGACATTTTTAAAATAGCTAGGAAAACTATTAAATTTATTTGTAATTTAAAATATATTGTTAATTGATAAAATATGTGGATGGTTTTATTTTTTTTATTGTTTGTACGTTCTAACAGTAACCATATATGTTTTAAAATGGTATTATATCTTTTATTAGCATTCCGTGTACAGGCTTTCAACCAAACGCAACATCGTCTACCTTGCCTGGCTAGGTAGATTCCATCGAATTTTTAGGCAACTTTCAGACAACACGTTTTGCCAGGCAAGTACTGCAGGCTTCCATCCAAACAGGCCTGAGTGCCTGGTGCAGCATCTAAGTTGCCTGGCCTAACAAGAGTGATTAGCCATTAAATGGAATACAACTTAATCGATCTTGTTGCGTGATCGAGAAAAAACTTAATCGATCTTTTTAATTAAAAAATAATCTGTCACTATTAGTCTATCTATTATTAAATATGTGAGACTTTGTTATTATAAACATGCAATATTAGCTTGCAAAGTATAATTAAGTTATTGAGTGTAATTAACGCTTTATTAAAAAAAATTTAGTTAATCAAGAAAAATAATATTAATCTAAATCATTTTTTTCTTAATCAAGCTATATAAGTATACGCTAATCTCACATCATAGGTATTTTAATGCACATCCACATTATGTATACTCTCTCATTAATATTCTCGTGCACAGTCCTCCAACCAAACAATATTTTTTTAGACTTGCTGGCCAGAAAAAAATCACTTTTTAGGCAACAAATTTTTTCCAAGCAACTTCCCTATGCTTCCATCCAGGCCCTTAGTTTTGGAGTTCAGAGGAAGTCATTTTGCCTGTGTGCTCTTGTACTTCTGAGTTCTGTACCCGAGTAGCGAATGTGTTTCATTCTTATTGAAGTCTGTCTGTCAAATTTTACGAGAAGATCTAAGAAAGTTTTATCCGTGTTGGTGGTTCAGCATTGTGGTATCTGCTTTTGGTTCTTTGAGTAGGTCAATGTTGGCTTGAGATCCCATTGTTTGAATTGTGCATATCCTCTGTCAAGAGCATAGCAACCAGTGTCTTCTTTCTCGACTGTCCTCTATCTGAGGGATAGCAAATAGGATCTTGGAATGCATCTATTTATTTGGGATGCATCCTAAGAAATGCTTAAATAATAATGATAGCTTAGTTCCATATATCATCTCGATACGGTCTACTTCCATACACCATAGTAAGTAAGGGGCTAGCATGATATATCATGGGAAGTGTAAAGGTGGGTCCAGTAATATTCAGACAAGAATCCCATACACGCCGACAAAGTTTTTATGCTAATGCACAACGATGCAAAGCTGTGGAGATTGTGTTTGCCTAAGAAGGACAGGGAGGCACATAGCACATGCTTGGTGCCAACTTATTTTGTCGCCCCTATGTAATCAGTAATTGTGAATGATGTGTTGTAAAGCTTGAAACAGATGGGCTCATTGAGCCTAGGCGCGTGTTTAGTTCCATAAATTTGGAATTTGGGGCTACTGTAGCACGTTCGTTTTTATTTGGTAATTAGTATCCAATCATGGACTAATTAGGCTCAAAACGTTCGTCTCGTAACTTTCCACCAAACTGTGTAATTAGTTTTTTTTTCGTCTACATTTAATGCTCCATGCATAAACTGTAAACATTCAATGTGACAGGTACTGTAGTAACTTTTTGGGATTTGGGATCCAACTAAACACGCGCTAGATCAATGAAACAAAAACAAACAGGTGGGGGAGCCTCTCCCCGTTGTCATTCAAAAATAATAATAATAGTGAGGTCACTTGATGTGTACAGTTGAGTCGAAAGTCCTCATTCCCAAAACTATCTTTGCTTGATTCCAATTGGGAAGGCACGTGATCTCGTATAATTATCTCTGGCATTTGGATTGTAGATAGTTTTTCATGGAAGACACGGAGGGAATTACAATTATATCAATAGAAGGGTCTGTTTGGATCTACTAACACCTAATAGTTAGCTAGCTAATAGCTCCAGCTAACAATTAATTGTTATTAGTTGAGTTTGGTCTAGTTAGTTAGTGAGATAGTTGTTAGCTAGATATCTAGCTAACAATTAGCTACTTTATTAACCGTTAATTGATAGCACCTAACTATCAGGCGCATGGATCCAAACAGTTTCAAAATAAAAAGTTTTTTTAAACACTAGCGAAGGCGTGATATACAAAGTGAGGGAGGGAGAAACCTATGCATCCATCCAAAATAGTAACCTGGAGGCCGACGCCACTGCCAAACACATTACACGTGACCAAAGCCACACATTAGGCCACCCCAACGCGCCAAGCTGACTTGTAGCCCCGTCCTCCACGTCTGCGTGTGAGATCCATATCATACCCGGTAGTGGTTTCGCAGCAGGTTATAGTCGCCTGCAGAGGCTGCGAGGACCTCATCTGATAAAAATTCCAGGCACCAAGCTAAGCATGCGTTGCGAGAGACGGAGCAGCGATACTAGTTCGTGCTTTTTCAGAGGTAGGCCGATTGGGTTAGAAATAAGTATTTGACATCGTAACATTTTCGTTTGTATTTGATAATTATTGTCTAATCATGATCTAACTAGGCTCAAAAGATTCATCTCATAATTTACAATTAAACTGTGTAATTAGTTTTTTTTATCTACATTTAATACTCATGTATGTATTAAAGATTTAATGTGACGAAGAGAGCGTGAAAAAACTTACGATCTAAACACGGTCGTAGAACGAGAAAAGAAGCCTTTAAAAAAAGCTGAATGATGAAGTGACGTTCTTACTGTAGCTGTTGGCTACGGTTATAAAATTGGTAGTCCTGTGCACACTATGTGTACGTGTCCAGTACTTTTTGACGGAAGCATAGGCTACTGACTGCCCGCATCGGGGCTGGCCTTAACGGAGCTCATCTTTTGGTGTAGATGATTATGTCAATTTGCGGTGCAACGTCGGAAAAGAAAAGGGAGCAAGCTTTCAGTCTCGAATCAACGTACATATACAGTTCCTTTATGGACTCCGTTCGTTTGTCTGAATTTGACTGAAAAAATAAACTAAAACATTATTCCGATTGAATTATTGTGAGAGAAAAATACTGTTCCGACTGAAAAAAAGAAGCCAAACAAACCGAATTAAGACAAGCGAACGGGACCATTATGTTGAAAAAAGAAATGGTACGAAGGTTTGTGCTAACAACAAATGGTAGGCGCGAGGCAACTAACGAGAATTTAAACAATGTTAACAAGCCTAGTTTTAGTACGATGACTATATTGTTTCCCTCTATTGATATACAACAAAGGCTGAATTTGTTGTATATAAGCATATAATACACTTCCACGCACGCATGAAGCATTTGCGCTATGCTTATTTATTGATTATCTCGAGTAAATTAAAGAAAAACACTTTTCAATTTCTGCTTCAAAAATCATAGCTCGTGTTGAGTGGCAAATAATAATACATGGAATATATTTTCTTCCAACATGTCACAAAGTAGTAACCAAAAGAACGTCATGTGTAAAAAGCTTCTACAGGGGGCACAAGCCCTCCGCCCCAAAATAAGTCCATTCCCATAGATTAGAAATCACATACCCATGGACCCTCTTTCGCTCTTTGTATGGGCAAATACTTGTTAATGAGATAGTGTGCTATAGTTGACCCATGTTGTCTTTGTTGTCAATCTCTCCTTGGTAAATACAAAACACCGCCCACATAGTCCCACTCCCTTTGTAACGTAAAACACCACCAAAGCGCCGAAGTGTTGTTTCTTGATCCTCTTCCCAGGCTCTCTGGACTCCTTGGGTGTTCCGTGCCCTTGTCACGTCTGCAGGCGAGGTTGGGCAGCCTGAGAGATGGACGAATGGCACTCTCCTCTCTCCTGCCTCTCTTGCAAGTTGCTTGGCCGCACCTTCTCCTGCCCGCTCCCTCCTTTCGGTGGTATTTTGTCATGCCTGTCGAGCGGTGAGACTTGATTAAGTTCTTGGCGTCCCAGCCCGCCTTCCCCTTATGATGGGATTCAGTCGTTGCATGTCAAATTCACGCAATCATCATCTATCACTTACGAGCCTTTTGGTTATGTGTTTGATAGGACACAGTGAAGTGCGTGGTCCTATAAATTATTAGGCCTGATTGGTTGGATGCCAATATTTTGCCCAACCAAAATTATGGCAAGATAAAACTTAGACTTGCCAAAATCAAGGTTGTCAAAGTTAGGGCAAAAAACAAAGGTGTGCATTTGGTTGACTGCCAAAATCAAGGCTCATCAATTTTCTCTTTTACGTAGTTTATAAGAACTTTCTAAAGACTTGCTAAAACTTTGGCTACAAATATTGGTGTCAATTCTTTGGCAAAGAACCAATTGATGATTATAAATTTTGGCATCATATGGTCGCAATCAGGCCCATTGTACACAAAAATGGTGACTTTCTTAAAAAAAATCGCGTTTTGCCGCTAGCGGCATTTTCATCCAATTCTCGTTCTGGCGGGAACAAATTATTTCGGCAGTCTGCTCCGCGCGAGAAGCGCTCCTCCCGGCTCCAGCCGTTTTGCAATACGCTCCCCACGCTCCGCTCCCGGTTCGCCTCCTTCCCGTCGCCCCCCTTCTCCACTAGGATCCGGCCGCGGCGGCGGTCCCCGCGAGCCCTCCTTTCCCTCCACCTCGGCCTGGAGGGCTTCCCGAGCCTCGGAGACCTCCCATTGCTCGCCCTACACCACGGCGGCGGCTCGCCCTCCTCGTCTTCCTCCACCGCGGCGGCCTCCCGCGCCGTCGAGCGTGAGCGAGTTCGGGAGCGCTACCAAACATGGAGCTTAGCTGGAGCGGGAGCGCGTGGGAGCTGGTTGGGAGTCCTACCGACGAACAGGCCCTCAAACACTAACCGAGCGGCGCCTAGCCGCCTTCCTTAGCCGTCGCCCATGGAAAAGTTCCTCGTGGCGGCGCCGCCTCATTCTGGCGAGGAGCCCTCGCCGCCTCCCAGGTGCTCCGCGCCGCCCAGAGCCACGCTCGATTGGCCGCCTTTCACCGCTCTCTGAGCCTCTTCTGGCCCGCAGGAGACACCGGTGGAGGCGCATCACCGTGGAGCTGGACGGCCGCATCGATGCCAGGTTCCGGCACCGGGAGTCGCGCCTCCTTCTCAATTCTTTCGCCGAGGTGCCATACTCTTGAAACAGATAGCTGTTAATCGTTTTGATTTGGGTTCTATTGTTGTTTATTGAGTTCGCCATTGGGATTTCTTAGTAGTAGGAGTTAAACAGGATGTGGAACTCTCCAGGGCAAGTTTTGAACATTTTTTAAAAAAAAAATTATAGTAACCTAATCCTAGTGTAAGTATCCCTTTTTAGTTTATCCTAGCCTAACTAATCCTTTTTAGTTAATCCTAGCACAGCTATATGTTTTTGTTCGAAAACAAAATGTAAAGTAATTTAGTGGAATAATAGAGCATAAAGGTACTGTGATCCGGGAGAAATATCCTTAAGATGTCGCAAAACTCTGGTTCCTTATGGATTATGAGCTTCACAGCTTTTGCTGACTAGCTTCTAAGGTCTGTTGGTGTTAAAGGTTATGTGCTGGGGACTAGGAGCTTATATATCATCTCTGTGGGGAAAGGAAAACGAGGGCCATTTTTGTCCTTTGGTTCTTACATTCCAATATACATTTTTTTCAATCTCGATTTAATATTCTCATTTACTTTTATCTTGACAAGATTGGGGCATTCGATCACAAGTATTACATGCATGGCGAGGAACGGTGTCGGACATATGTAATGCTGATCCTTTGATTTATGTTTTGCTTGCAATGCCCAGCTGCAGTACTTCATCCAACTGATGGATTTATTGTGATTGCTCCCATCAGGTGGATCGAATGATTAGTGCTTCAACTATAGATTTTCATCCAGCAAGGTCAGCCTTTCTCTTTATAGCTCTTTGGAGCTTTACCTTACATGATTTAGAGTTATGTAATGGTCACCTTCCTACAGTTTCATTTTAACAGCTACTGTATTTGAACAGGGAGGGTGTTTCAGCAATAGAATTTGATAGAAAGGTAAAATGCATATTCTGTGCAAATGTAATTTTTCTAGTTTAGCATGACTGCGAATTTCAACTCGTCACCTTCCATTTTTTCAGAACAAAGTTGTGATACGAGTAATATCAGAGCATCCTCATTTCTGATTTTAATCGTGCAGGGAATATACCTTGCATCAGTGACACTCTCAGGGTGTCTGACAGTGCATGACTTTGAGACCTTGTACTGCTCTAAATACGGCCCATCATGCAGTAAGTTAAAACTAGAACCCACGTGACCTCCTTTCTAACTTGTATTGTCTTCTGGTTAACATTATTTTTCTCTAATCATAGCTTCCTATCTTCATTCGATTTGGAAATTAGAAATCAGGTTAAGAACCTGACTTTTCCTAGACAAAGAGCTACCTCTGCACCTTCTGATGATACATTCTTGTCCGTGCAAATCTAATTCTAATTTTCTTAACTTAGGCTTAGGTGAGCAACTTACTTTTTTGTTTGTAGGTATGCCAGATGAATCATCAAATTATGTGCTCCATATATCTAACCGCATTCCCCTAAATGCTGTCCGATGGAATCCAGGAAACCAAGACGAGGTATAGTGCATATTTATTCTTAATGCAGTATGGGATGTTCCAGTTTCAGATACTTCAGTTCCTAAAATATTTTGCTACTTGATACTATCAATGTTTACCAAGCCTAACTACCATGCAGCTTTGGCGCTACAATCTGTTTTGTAATAAAAAAGATTGAGATATTTATGAGTTCATTTGGTTCCTATGTATTTTATTGTCGAAAATACCTGCTGCAGATTGCTTGCACATCAAGTCAAAGTGATAAAGTTTTCCTCTTTGATATTGGCTATGTCTCATCTGCACCAACTGAAGTAAGCCCCCTTTTGTGTTGTTCCTCATAAACGCTTCGCATTTTTATGCAAGGAAAACATGTCTGCTATTAGTTTACATTAGCAAATCATGTGTTATCCTTTCCCTTTTCTATCTATTCCTAGATTATCACACATTGCTGTCTCTTACTTTGTTCAATTTATTTTTCCTACTGTTTTTTTTTGTCAGTTATGTAGCTGCATAATATACAAGAATTTATGATAAAAATAGTGTTGTGGGTCTGAATCAGAGATAAGATAGACCTGCTTCTATCAGTATGAACAAAATTTAAAATTCCACAATGTAAAAGAAAAGGTTTCTAAATAATATCTTTGTACTTCTTTAAATATTGTAAATTAGAAGGGATTATAGCTTTACGTATGAACCATTTTCTAAACATACATATCCTCTGACCTGAATTATTACCATTTTAGGTTTTGCATAAAGGAAAATCCAAATTCCCCGCGCTCTACTCTGAATCCTGCAAGAGTCTGACTGATATAACTTTTACTTCAGATGATAAGTCACGGTATGTAACAAATTTCAGGGCTATTCACATCTTCATGCCATCACAGTTGCCTCTGTGAAATAAGACCAATAACAAAATATTGCTATTTAGTACTGTGGAGCTTGCTCTAGACAATCAAGAGCATATCATGTTCTCTGGTTTTCTTTGTCCATAGTCCCTTAATCAAGACATATGGACAGCTGTGAAGCTAAAGAAACCAAGGACTGCTAAACATGATGTGTTACCGAATAAATGTAGCTATGTGGGTTGGGCTGGGTGAGTTATCGAAGAAGAATAGATGTGGATTCTGCTGATGGTTGCTGTTCCTTCATGAACGTAAATGTCTTATTTTTGTGGTGGCTGCTGCCTCATAAATAAATAAAGGTTAGCTGTTTTATTTAGGGGAGAAAATTGGGATTTTGCCCTTATGGCAGGTGGGCTTCGCCCAAATGCCATCAAAGTTGTGGGATTTGCCTGAATGTCCTTATGAAACGAGTCTACCCTAAAATACCATTTCGCGATTTAAGCCCCGTTTTAATCTTTTTCACCCAAAATTTGGACCTGGAGTGACCATTTTGCCCCTGTGGTCTTTTACCTTTCCCTTCATCTCTCTCATGCTCTCTCTCTCTCTCTCTCTCTCTCTCTCTCTCTCTCCCATGGGCTCTCTCTCACTGCTTCCTGGGCGTCATGGCTAGCACCAGCCCCGCATTCTGGGTCGGGGACTGGGTCATCATCTTCGATCTCTCCGGCGTGGCGCTGGAGGTCTTCGCCAACAGCTTGTGCATCATGGAGGCCGGGGATAGACTAGTGTTTGGCTGCGGTGGTCCAGGGGCAGCAGGGCATAAGGAGAGGGAGAGAGAGCGGGAAGATTACTAGCGTGAGAGAGGGGTATGGCTGATTCAACATGCAGGGGCAAAACGGGAAGATTAGGCCTTTGTTTTGGCCAAAAAATTAAATGAGAATTGAAATGGTGAAATGGTATTTTAGTGTGTAGGCAATGCTTCATAATGGCGATCTAGTGAAGCCCACAAACTTGATGGCATTTGGGTGAAGCCCACCTGCCATAAGGGCAGATTTCCAATATCTCTATTTAGTGTACTTGAAATGTCATTATCAATATCTTAGTGGTATTTGAGGCGTACGTACCAATATGCAAACAAATCTCTGCCTTGTTGGAAATATGTGGATTTTCACTTACCAGTTCTTTCATAGGATATTTGCATCTGGCCTTGATGGGGCAGTGTACATGTGGGACAGGCGGTCAAGTAAGACACACTGTCTTGAGCTTATGGCATCTCCAGAATCTCAGTTCAACACTGTCAAACTAACTGTGGATAATCGGGTATGCATAAGAATTTAAAATATTCAATAACAGATGTTGCTTGCTTCTTTAGATTACTTTGTTTTATATACAATGGTGAAATTAATCACGGAATATGCTGTTTGAGAACGACATCCCATGAACTTAATCATCTTGTTATGATAAACCTAATGCTATGGAATTCTGTTTCACAAAAAGGAGGCTACAGCTGGATGAGAGGCCCTTTGATGATTGGTGTGATAATGCAAGCCAGAAAGTTACTTGTCAGATCAGAAAGGGTTTAACTCTCTTACTTATCATTCTACTAGGGGTTTGGTCAATTTGGAACCACCGTAATCATTGTCTTCGATGGGTTTTCCCCTAGTCTGTTACTGACAGGTGTGATATCACTTGTGTTGAGGCTTGGGTTCCTACGTAGGTTGTAGCTATGTGAGATGGAAGTCCAGGGTTTGAAGCCCTGACGGTGAAGTGGCACCGTGCTGCGTGACGGCACAGAGAGGGAGGCGAGGGAGGCACGGGTAGTTGGAGAGATTGATTGAGTGTTTAGGTTTTATAGCCTCATGTCCTATCAAACTCAATTTCAAAGAAACTCCACTCTAATATGATCCGACTAATAGAACTGGACATCGTAGTGCCAGGCTGAGAACCGCGTCGCTGGGCGCGCCAAGGCTTTGGCGTCACGCCTCAGCCACGGCTCCTCTTCCCCCTGCGCTGGTACATGTTGCCAACCATAACAACTTGTTGCTGAGGAATTGCAGCTATGAGGTTTGGCCGGGGCTCAAGGTATTTCACATATCCTTGCCCTTGTGCTTGATGAGGGTTAATTTTAGGTCGAGGTCGGGTTTTTTCCATGCTAGCACTGGCATGTATGTTTCCATAAGCATAGGAGTTAGTGGGTGTGTGGTAAGTGTTAGAAGGGTTTCTCCAAACCCTTTTTTCTTCTTAAAACAAAAAGAAGGCTTTGCTAGCTGTTTTATGTTTTCGATGTGCTGTACATTTTCTATTATCTTTGCCGCCTCATCTGATTTGCACCCTTTCTTAACTTAAGCAGTCAATTAAAATTTTAATTATCAAGCCATCCCATAAATGGGCATTTACCATTTGTTTTGCAGGCTGCGTTTGGTGCAACTAAAAATGGCACAATCCATGTTTGGGATCTCCGTGGAGGGAGGGCATCAGCTGCTTTTCAAAGCCACAATGAGGTGGGTTTTGGTGTTCAGCAGATTAACTTTATGTATTCAGCACACGTGGTTCTGCAGGCTTTTACTCCATGATCAGCTTGTAACACGCAAGCTAATTGCCTGTATCTCCCAGAAGTTGCTTTAGCCCATCTGTCATGTACGAAAAACTCATAGAGTGGTTTACCCATGCCAAAAGGAAATGAACATACCAGTTCTCAGGGAAATTAAAACATCCAGTGTGCTGAAGCCTAATTATGATTGATTCAGAACCATGTGATGACATATGAAACTTTTTAAAATTTAAAAACATGAAGGATCCTATAGGCTATATCATAGTTATTAAGAATTAACTCACGGTAAGTGGTGTAATCTAAGTAAATTTAAGGTGTCAAGCATTGGAAGCCTACTCCCCCCTCCTCCACGCGAAAAGCAACTAGCAAGAAGTTTTGTGTCCTTTCGGTCTTGGCTACGTGTTATCTGGTTTGTTATGGGTTGTAATTCCGTAATGCTTGTGGCCTAAACTGTTAGGTGTTGGTCAGTGACCCATTCAATCAGCATGCTTCTCTAATCAGAGACTCAGAGTTGTAGGTTGATCCGACGGACGGGTTTCACATACTTTCCTTCTGTTTCTCTTCTGTCTTTCTTGGTATGAATGCTGTATTTCCGTTATGCCATAATGGAAATGGGGGAGATCCTCGATTCATTTTCTTCAATTAATAGTGAAGACAAAACAAAGCACAATAATACCAAGAAAAACAAAGAAAACAATACCCACAGATGCCGCCAACGCCTACCAGAGATCTGGCACAAGGTTATCCAGCTGGAACTCCAGGGGGTGGGGGCCCTCATGACAATTCCTCCATTCAGGGACATGGTACCAAAGGCATTGCCATTGTCTGCCTTGTCAGGGAGCCAAGCAGATCCTTGGGCTGGAAAATCTCCCGCAACCCACAAACCCCTGCCTTGTCATGGCATCGTTCTAGACTCTTATAGTTAGTCTAGAGCTCGTGTATTTTCTTCACAGCGGCACACCTGTAACTGTTTTGCCCGGTGTGTGTTGATTTTTCTTTAGCCTCTCCTTTGTATTATTTCTTCTCTTCTAAATGAAATAACACACAACTCTCTTGCGTTGTTTGAGAAAAAAAATGTCACCGTTGATGCACCGATCATGGCCTTTGTTTAATACCAAACTATTCTTTGAAACTGTGCAGACTTGTCAATCCAGTCTGTTTATTAGTTTGAATAGAACCATCTATGCTGTAGGTAAATTCTTTGGAACCTTTTTCATGCAGCAATGTATAGTTGTATTGATAACATGAGGGTTTGTATTCTTGGTCAATATTTCCAGGTTCAACAATTGCTATCAGTGAAGCTATCAACGTTGTTGGGCAAAATTGCATCACTAAAGGTACGCAGAAGAAAAAGAAAGTCTTGTTATTATGGATTTATCTGCTAAAAAAAGAACATACCACTCTTCGAGACACATTGATGCATTTTGTGTACACATTGAATGTAATTTAGAATTGCTTTTTTAACACTACCATTGAAAGCATCCAAGATGTTGACTACAAGAGTATTGACATTTAGAGGCATACTCCAAAAGAGTACTGTGGTCCTATCCTGTGACCTGGGTTCAGAAAACCATTTTTATTCTTAAAATAGGGGCTGAGATTTGGCATCCCTAACCAGTGGCGAAGCTAGAGAAAATTAGAGGGTGGTGCACTTGCCTTGTGGGTGCATAGACTTGTGCTATAGGTGGTGCATATATGGTGAAATTTTAGAAAAAAAACCATTGTTTTCACAAATTTTGGGTGGTGCATTTGCACCCACTAGCTTCTAGCTAGCTTCGCCCCCTAACAACCATACCACAGGTCATCTAAAGTCAGGCAGGTCTCAAAATTCTGGTTGTCATGGTTACTGAGATTTCCAACTGATCCGTTCGAGTTCTTAGCATGCAAGTTCATAAAGCTGTTGGGTAATGGTCCCTCCATTGCTTGACACATACTTGTTACAGTCCTTCTGAGTTTTCGAATGCATGATATTTTTTGTCTGCTGAGAATACAACTTTATGTTCATTCCAATCTTGGTTTTTGAACCTCCTGAATCCGTTTTAATTACAATGTATACTCATCTCTGCAGAAAGTATATTCTTACACTTGGACTGATACATTGAAAACACTTTGGATTTTTAACATTCAAAACCATAATATATCCTCCTATTTGAATTTTTTTTTCTTGTGGACCACTCCTGAATTTCATTACCATGGTAATGAGTGCAAAGCATTCAATTTCTGCGATAAGTATGCGTATCACCTACTACTACAAGTCATACTGCAAGCAACACCCTGGATTGCCATACTCCAACTTCAGAAAATTGCCACAGATAACCAAAATCTACTAACACAAGATTACAATCCTACCATTTTGTATTGGATTTTGGATGCAATTTACTCTGCACTAGTTGGCCTTCTCCAACAAGATCTCCCATTTAATATCTCCTTCAAGTGTCAGGTCTCACCTTGTTGGTCCAGCACCTTCGTGCTGCTGAGGCATTTCCTGTCTTGGATGGAAATGCAGCACCACTGCATGCAACATGGCTGCCCCTGCTCAAATGTGCTGATCCTCTGGTTTCTGCAACCCTGCCCACTAGTACACAATCTCGGTAGGAGATTTGATGATTTTGTTTTCATAGTATGCATGGTTTCACTTTTTTCCCTATCGCCCAGCAAATACCACCTGGGCCAACCATTTGGAACTGTTTCCCCCGTAGAAACCAGCTATAAAATCCAAATATCATACTACCCAAAAGATTCAGGTGCACAGTTAACTCCCAGAACAAAACTAATACTCCATACATATTTAGGTATGGCACATCCAAAAAATGTTGAATTGATCCTTCTACTTCACAATCACAAAAACTGGATCTGGAGTCACCCTGCCATTTTCTTCTCTTTAGATTGTCCCTGGTTAGCATAACATCCTGAAACACCAACCACATTCTGTTATATTCCAACATTTTCAACAAAAACGTCAAAATATATTTGTTTTTAGCTGATTACATGATATACACCATCATTTTTGACATTACTCATAAATTGTAGAACATGGAACCATTTCTGATTCTGAAACATATCTTTTGCAAACTATTATTTTGGCATTTATATTTTTCAGGAACAATCAAACATTGTTTCAAGTCCAATTCTGTCTATAGACTTCAACCCTAGTTGTTCATATCAATTGGCCTTCCATCTTGATGATGGCTGGTATGTATCTCCGTTTTCCCCTTTAAGGATCATTGTTCTTGTTAGAAATTTCTGTCTATGATCATTTCAAGTCACCATATTTAGCCCATGATAACTCTTCCACTCATTTAAGTGCATTAGATCTCAATGAATTTCTTCTACGCACATCTCATGCTAGGTCTGGAGTCCTGAATGTTAACAACCTCAATGTGACTCACCTTCACTGCCCTCCTCCTGCTTGGTTGTAAGTATCCTGCTATGTATTTTGTTTGAAGCCTAGGTTCCTACAAATATTCTTAATTAAAGTATGCCTGTTCTGAGGTACTCTTCCTTTTCTCTTACTAGGGAGAGTACGGACTTGGCGCTGCAAAACCAGTTAAGAAAGCCAACCTGGCTGCCGACATCTTCTGTAAGAATATTACAGAGTACACTAAACTTTAGTACCTGCAAAAAGTTTTAATGAATGCTGAATGATGCACTCCTGTTTATTGTTGAGAAGTTCCCTTGATGTTAAGGAATTTGTCCAGATTTATGCAGTTGGATCTTCTTCATATGATGGTATTTATCTACTGGACTTTCATCCAGATACGAGCTCTGCATGCCATGTGGACTACAAGTAAGCTGCTCTACCCTTTGTTTTTGTTTGTTTTCTGGAGACATACCTAAAGAAGTTCCAGACTTCCGGTTATTTACCTATTTTTTTATTTTGCCCATTTATCATATGATATTTATTGTCTTTTTTCCCACTTGTTTTCCACATTTCAGAGAGGAAACAAGAGTCTCCGAGGAAAATCAACCTGCAGAAAACAAGTCTGTTCCTTTATCCCAAAGGGTGCTTTCTTGTGCAGCCCATCCACTCAGTCACACCATAATTGCTGGTACACAGGTTGGTTTCGTTTTGTGGTCTCATACATAATTCCTGCAAGTGAGAATGAAAATATGTGTATGCTGAATGATATCCTTCTTACCTTCTTTTATGAAACTATGGAATTGGAGAGTTTTATTTATTTTGTTAAGCCTCAGATACCATTCTGTATGAATCCCATCAATTTGAGTGAGATTCAAAAACACTGACCAACTATTTTTACCTCTCCAGTTCTCATCGTTGCTCTTGTTATCACAAAAGTACAAGACCATCAGAAATCCAGAGTCATGAAAACCTGCCATTTCCTCCACGCAACACCTTGAATTGTCCATTTGCAGAATCATAATGGTGTTTTCTCATCGCCATCGTGCAATAAAGAATTATGTGCAGCATGGAGACCTTGCTGGTGCCACTGAGTCTTCAGATCTAGTTGGCCGGTCACTAGGTTCAAAGTGCTGCCAATAACCGGCTTCCAAGAACTGATGAATATGCAGCCATTCACACAAATGCCCTGTGTAGGCTGGTATCGCCACAACCTGTGCTAAATTCTGTACATTATCTCTGCTTCTCCAAGTTGTTTGGCCAATTTTAACATCTCTCGATGTGCCCTTGAGAGGGTGAGACCTATCTTAAACTGCAAGGCAGGTGCAGGGTGTAATGACCTAATAGGCTAGGGGATCTTGTATTCTTGTTTTTCTCTAGGAATGGCACTGTTCCTAATGTTCTCCTTCAGTTCATAACTGTACAGTTTCATTACTACTCTATGTATGACTAATAAGTCAAGAACAAAGTACTCCCTCCCCAAAGAGGATGTAATTCTAAAATGGTGCTATGTTAAAGTATGTTGAGATTGACCAAATTTATATTAAAATATACTACTTCCTCTGTGTAGAAAGATAGAATTGGGAGGCAATTGGCCACACCTCAATAGGAGGGGGCGCCTTCTGTTATATAGGGCCGGCTGGCCTTGCTTTACAAGGCAAGGGTAATTCCCTTGATTTACATCTACTAAATATAGTAACTAATTCTTGATTTACATCTACTAATTATGGCTACAAATGCCGCAACATATGGTAAGGGGCTGCGGCATATTCTATTGCCTAACACCTGCCCGCAGTTGCAGCGGGAGGCTCCTGGACGCAAAGACTGGATCGAAATTCTCGAAAGAGTGCTGTCGGAAGCCCTTTAGTCATGATATCGGTGAACTGGTGAGAGGAGGGCACATGGAGAACCCAAATCTCACCGAGGGCCACCTTTTCGCGGACGAAGTGAATGTCGATCTCAATGTGCTTCGTTAATTGGTGGACGGGGTTGGCTGTCATGTAGTAATATTGTCGCGAAAGACAACGGTGGCGGAGGGCAGCCGGAAGTGGAGCTCTGGAGTAATCGCCCGTATCCACGGCCCGATTAGACCGTGGTCTGGCGCTTGGAGGACCAAGAAACCAGATTGTCACTGAGATAGACGCAGAAGCCGGAGGTGGATCGTCGAGAGTCTGGACAGCCATCCGGCGTCGAGTAGGTAGTCGACTTGTCGGCGGACCGGTGCCAATGTGAAGACCCGAGGAGAGAGTCCCCGTCTGAAGCGTGGGATGCGCTTGATGAGCGCATGCGGTGAGGCTTCACGCGGGCGTGCATGAAGAGGCACACACCGTGAGGCACACCGTTGAACATCATATGCGGATCGGGGCGAGTCGGGTTAGGTCTTGGAGAGCCCCGCCAAGCTCCTCGCACTCGGATGCGTCCTTCTCGACGATGAGATCCCGTCGGCCATGCGGATAGCTTGGCGTGAGTGTCAGCAGTGTCGTGGTCGGATGACACTCACCATGCCCGCCATAGAAGAAGCTCGACAACAGCATCTTCTTCATTGGTATCAATCTGCTGAGGAAGTGGTGGAGGCGCCAAGATCCGTCATGGCGAACTTCGGAGCTCACCGAGCCATAATCTGTTGCCGAGGGGCGAGGCGGTGAAACGATGTCGCCAACGCGTCTGATGAGGAGAGGCTCGTCCCCTCTCGTAGAATGAAAAGGGACGCGTGTCGAGGCGGAGGTGACGGCCGAGCTGCCGGATGAAGGTGGCGAAGCATTGGTACCAGATTTACAAGGACTTGCGCAGACGGCGAGACGTAATCTGGGGCGCCGAAGTCGACAAATCTTTTTGGCGATAAACGGTCTCCTCGAGGTGGCCGTGAAGAAAAGTTCTTCACGTCTAGCCGATGAATCGGCGGTAGCGCGGACGCGGCGATGCTAAGCTGAATCGAATGGTGGCGGTTTGACAACCGGGCTGAAGGTCTCGTCGTAGTCGACACCCTCACGGCCGGGAGAAGCCTCACAACCCAACGAGCCTTGTGGCGGCGCATGGAACTTGTGCCGGAAGATCCACTTCCCGTCCACGGCGTTGGCGCCGGGGGCCGAGGAACGAGCGCCAGTGTTGTTGTTGTCGATGGGCTCGGTACTCATCCATCATCGCGCACGCCCGATTGGCGTCGGCCAGGAGAGTTCGTCGGAATCGGCGATGGGGAGGATGACGTTGTGGCCGCCAGCCCTTCATAGTTGACGCGAGGGATGGCACCCGTCATGGTGCGGGTGACACGCGGCGGCGGTGGCGGTGGCGGAGCAGGAGAGGCCGCCGGTGCTGGTAAGGGCGCCGTAGGTGGTGCCCGAGCGTCAGGAGCCGCAGGGCTCTTTGAGGCGGCTGACCGCTCGGACATAGTCGTCGTCTGAGGGGAGCGCGGACGTGACCCGTGGGAAGGAACCACGCCTGGGTCCAGGCGGGGGCACGTGACCACGCCCGCCCGGTGGCGAAGAAGGTGATGCCGCAACGTCTGAGGGCGGCTGCTCCACAGGCGTCGAGGAGAGAGTCCCACCTGCAAAAACAGTAGGGCAAGGCACCGAAACCATATCGTCATCGAGGAGGAAGTCGAGGGAAGCGGGGGAGGAGGTGTCTAAGGTGGCTGCAAAGGGAAAAGTGGTTTCGTCAAATGATATGACATGGCGAGAGATGATGATGCGACGGGTTTCGAGGCAGCGGTAACCTTTGTGCGAGGGGGGATATCCGAGGAAGACACATGCTGTGGAGCGAGGGGCGAGCTTATGTTTGGAGGTTGCTTGCATGTTGGGGTAACAGAGGCACCCAAAAACACGCAGATGACTATAGGTTGGTGGCTGGTTATGCAATCAGTGTAGGGAATTTCATGTTGAATGGAGGAGGATGGGCGCCTATTATGGAGGTAGCAGTTTGTTAGGAGCCCCTCATAATATGTGGGCGGCAGGAGGCATGAAGGAGCATAGTACTGAATGAATTGTTGAGTGTGCGGATGATGCGTTCGACTTTGCCATTTTGGGGTGATGTGTAAGGCGGGAGAGGCGGAGGTGAGTGCCTTGAGCAGCGAGGAATTTGGTGGTGGCGGTGTTGATGAATTCTGCTTCGTTATCGGCTGAACACATTTTAGGGAAGACTGAATTGTGTTTTGGCAAAGACCACGTGTTGGTGGACCTCAGATTTTTTTGAGCGGAAAAACCCAACAGTCTATAATCATCCAAACATACCAAGTAATATGAAAAACCGAGACCAATGTTTGATGGGGAAGTCCATACATCACAAAGTGAACAAGTTCAAAGGGTGCATGAGTTATGGAATGCGAGGAACGAAAGGGTAGACATGTATGCTTGCCTAAGCCGACATGAGTGACATAGGGAGCGGTCCACTTTATTACTGAAACAACAACATGAATTTTATTAAGACGTTGTAATGCAAAGGGGTGGATGGCGAGACGTTGATGCCACAAAGAATGAAGCGACCAAGAGAGCATGAGATGGGGCGGCAGTGTGTGCGGCGAGCATGGTGTATAGGTCCCCGTCGGCATTACAATGAGAGAATCATGCGTCCCGTCCCGAGATCCTTAACAGAAAAACCATAAAGGTCAAATTCAAAGGAACAACTATTGTCGCGAGTGAAGCTGACGGACGGATAACGAAAGTTGCGATACTATGGATGGTGCGACAAGAATATTGTTAAGAGCGAAATTTGTTGTAGGTGTAGGAAGGACGGAATGACCTCTAGACGTAACAGAATGCTAGTGCCATTACCTACTGTTATTGAGGAGATGGAGGGGGGCGTTGGGTAAGCATACCATCCGAGGACGTCATGTGCGTGGAGGCGCCGGAGTCAACGACCGAGTATGAAGTTGCTCTCAGCTTGCATGTTCTGCAGAGCAGCAATGAGGCCGGCTGCATCCCAGGTGCTGGTGGAGGTGTTGGAGCCGCCGGAGGACTGAAAGCTCTAGTTTGGTTTTTTGGTGAATTGATGAAACCCTAAGTGCTAACCTAGTTTATCAAGTGATCATGAGATAGGTAGCACACTCCAAGTGATGAAGAAAATAAAGATCATAGCATGATGATGATGATACCATGATGATGATCAAGTGCTTGGACTTGGAAAGAAGAAAGAGAAACAAAAAGCTCAAGGCAAAGGTATAAACCATAGGAGCTATTTTATTTTGGTGATCAAGACACTTAGAGAGTGTGATCACATTTAGGATTGATAGTCGTACTATTAAGAGGGGTGAAACTCGTATCAGAGTGCGGTTATCAAAGTGCCACTAGATGCTCTAACTCATTGCATATGCATTAGGATCTAGTGGAGTGCTAACACCTTTAAAAATGTTTGTGAAAATATGCTAACACTTGTGCACAAGGTGATACACTTGGTGGTGTTGGCACATTTACAAAGGAGGTGGTGTTTGCAAAGTTGAGATGGGTTTGGGTCCCTCTCTCCTCCACCGAGCTTGCGGCGGGATTCATCTTCGGGAAAATGGAATGCCTATTTTCTATTGCTCCGATGAAAATTCTTAGTGGTTGGCACATTTGAGCAAGGGTGAAGAAGTTAGAGTTGAAATGGAGTTGGTCGAAATGATGTTTGGCGTCGGTCTCATCGACCGGAGCCTGGATCACCAAATGACCGACATGCGTCCGGTCGTCTTTGTCGAGCAAACATGAAAGGTTGAGCACCGGACACACTCCGGTCAAGGTGGATCGAAGTCGAAGAAATACGCCTCGGGAGCATCGAAACGACCGGACGCTGGCTTCAGCCGTCTCGGTCGGTTTTGCCGAGCGTCCGGTCCGCCGTAGCCGTTGAAATCGTCAATGTTTGAAGTTCTGGCGTCCATCGGCTGACCGGACGCCGAGGACCAGCGTCCGGTCAAGATGGACCGGAGCGTCCCGGTCGAAAAATAACGGCTCTATTTGATTGGGGCTCTATTTATAGCCCCATGGCCGGCTCAAGGGAACTCTCTTGCACATTTTCATTGACATAACAACCTTGTGAGCTTAGCCAAAGCCCTCTCACTCATCTCCATCATTGATCCATCATCATTGTGAGATTGGGAGAGAATCCAAGTGCATTGCTTGAGTGATTGCATCTAGAGGCACTTGGTATTCGTGTTGCGCTGCGGATTTCGCTTGTTTCTCTTGGTGGTTGCCACCACCTAGACGGTTGGAGCAGCGGTGGAGGATCGGCACGAGTTGGTGATTGTTCGTGGCCACCTCCGGTGATTGTAAGGGGAGTTGTACCTTCCCCGACGGAGTGCCGAAAGGTAACTCTAGTAAATTGCTCGTGTCATTGAGTTACTTCACTTGTGGGTCGGTTCTTGCGGTGTCCTATCGTGTGGACGAGGTTTGTGAAACACCTCTTAGCCGCGCGAACCCCCAAGTGTTGGTCGACACAACGGGGATTAGCGTGTTGGCAAGCACGTGAACCTCGGGAGAAAAATCGGTTGTCTCTTGTCATTTGCATTCTCCCGGTGATTGGCTCAATCTTCATCTTGTGATTGGTTCACTCCACGACCCGGCGGTATAATCGTATCACTTACTCTTTTACATTTCCGCAAGCTAGATATAGCAAGCTCTTTAGTGTAACTAGAATTGAGAGCTTGCCTTGTGCTTTAAACATATCTAGTGGAGCTCTTTAGTATAGCATTTGTGAGAGCTCTTAGTGAGTAGTAGTCAAGTAGATTGTGTGCCAATTGATCATTGCAACTAGAATTGTTGGACAGGTGGCTTGCAACCCTTGTAGAGCTAGAGCAAGTTTGCATTTCGCTATTTGTCTTACTAATCAAATTGCTCTAGTTGATTTGTAGTTTTTAAATAGGCTATTCACCCCCCTCTAGCCATATTAGGACCTTTCAAGGACGCCTAGAGCGGAGCGAAGGCGGTGTGGGCCTACGGGGAAGGCCCGAGGATGCTCCCTGCGCCTCCCTACCTCCAGGGCGCAAGACCTCCTTGCTGGTGCTGTCGGGAGGGGTGACGTGCTCTCTAAGGGCCACACGGTCGCCGGGTCCAGGGATTGAAGCCCGAGGAACGCGTTTTGTTGGTGCCGGGTCTTCACGAGGTGTTGGAGAATCCATCGTAGGAGTTTGGGAAGGGCTCCGCCTTCTTGGTGTTAGGCCGCTGCCGCCTGTCACATCTGGCCTGCTGCACTGCACCACCAGAGAGGAGGCGCCTTTGGGCGGTGGTGGCGCCGCGCACTTTCTCCTCGTTGTGCACGCAGCTTCTTTGAGAAGGAGCTGGTGCCGGGCGTTGGCGAAGGTGAGGGGCTACTTTCCGGCGATGGTGTCGGCGACGGTGGAGTAGACCTCGCTTGAGGCCGCGCAGCAGCATTGAGGACGAGGTTGGGCTCGGATCACGGGCTGCCCGACGTCAGCGCAGCTTCGTCGCCCTTCTCCTTCATGCGCGCGAACGCAGATGGCGCCAATGGGCGTGTCCCCCGAGTCGAGTGGAATTGTGATTCGTGAAGATGGCGCGAGGAGCTTTGTTCGCTGGAACACAGCCATGGCCGCCGTCAAAGGGCGCCGCCAGTCGTGTTGTCGGTCATGGCGAGGTTGAGGACGGCGTCGGAGACGGTCTTTGACATCCATCCGCGAACGCAAGTCGCTGCGTCTCAGCCTCGTTGGTGGGCGCGAGGTGGAGGCGGTGGCGAGATGGTGCAAGAGATTTCCCACACGTGGCTGGGAAGCCGCTCGACCACTTGGTGAAGTTGGAGGCTTCAACTCAAGGGTCATGGGGACGTGGAGCTTGATGTTGATGGTGGCGAAGAAGCGATGGCGGGGCGAGTCGGCCCCTAGGGCCAGCACTGGGTGGTAGAGGAGATGGCTGCGGTGGTGTCCATGGCGGGGGGGGTTGGGGGCGCAGGAGGTCTCAGGCGGAAGGTGGAGAGGGGCCGAGATCGGGATCGAGACCCGGACTGCTGATACCATGTAGAAAGATAGAATTGGGAGGCAATTGGCCACACCTCAATAGGAGAGGCGCCTTCATTATATAGGGTCAGGCTGGCCTTGCTTTACAAGGCAAGGGTAATTCTCTTGATTTACATCTACTAAATATAGTAACTAATCCTTGATTTACATCTACTAATTATGGCTACAAATGCCGCAGCATATGGTAAGGGGCTGCGGCATATTCTATTGCCTAACACTCTGTTTTAGATTATAAGACGTCTTGACTTTTTTAAATGTATTAGTTTTTACTAGTGTATATCACTTGTTAAAAAAAAGATCTGTGTATATCTAAATGCATAGTAAAATTTATGTATCTAGAAAAAAAATATCTTATAATTTGTAATGGAGTAATATTTATTGCACAGAATAGGTATCATTAGATTCGTTATGAAACATATTTTTATAGTATACTCTCTCCGTCCTAAAATGTAGTGTATTGTGACTTTTAAAATTTATATTAAAATATAGTGCATTCTACAGGTGTCAATGCCTAGATTTGGCAAAGTTTATTAGAAACGAAACCATAATTGAGGAGAAACACCTTAATTGGTATCAATCTATGGACACATGCGTCATTTGAGGATTCACTTAAATTGTTCTAAAATTTTTAGAATGCACTATAATATAAGACGGAGGGAGTATTTATTTGACACTACAAATAATAATATTTTTATTTATATATTTAGTTAAACTTTAGTCATTTTAACTGAGAATGTATCTAAAATTGCATTTTTTTAAAAATAAATTGCATTTTTTTATGGAGGTAGTACATGATTGTTGGGAGAGGTGAAGAAAGATGCCCCATTTGATTCATAGCGCCGGCTTCGGTGGAGCCAATCCTTCCGCTGTTACCGCGTTCTGTCCATCCGAGGACCGGCGTCACTCACCAGCGCACTGTCCACTGTGGCTGTTGTGATCGCCGCTGTCAGGGATCACCATTCTATAACGAATAGCACCCCAGAATCGCGTTACGGCTCTATTCGGCTGTTCTATAAGTCGTTTGTACTGATTTGTACGGCTGATTTGTTGGGAGAGAAAAATAATGTACCATAAATCCATGGCTGATAAGCTGACTTATAATGGCAACCGAACATTCATATAATAGCACTGCACCCACGATAACAATTTGTGAAACTGCACGCCTCTTCGTTCCCCTCGAAACAAAAGACCAACTTGCCCTCGAAATCAAATGCACCGAGTTTGTTAATTTAATGTAACTGACATTCTGTGCGTGCAGGAAGGCACTTCCAAACCAAAGAACAGAGCAGCCAGACCAAAGACAATGCATGTTGGTAATATTTCTCCTGGAAGTACATGCATCATCAGCCAGAACAAAATGATGGCTTAGTACCAAAGAATGGAGACCTAGTGAATATTTTGTGATCCATGCAACTTATTATACTTTTGAGATGTCTGAAAGACAAACTTGGTTATACTAGATAACTAACCTGCAAACTATGTTTGCCGTAGTGATCTATTATGTACTGCGAAATCTGGTATAATTAATCTTGCTTAAAATGGAATTCATATTTGTCTGTTTATCTTTTTGTGCTGTATTTATGTACTATCTGCCTATGTTATCTCTTGAAATAGAAAAAAGGGCAATTTGGTCCATTTGGTTCATGAATTCTCACCAGAAGACAATAGTCAAAATGTTATCAGGTGGAAAGGTGGTATTTCTGCTCTCTTTTTTTCAAGTAAATATTATGAACCACCTCTTGCATCTTGCTACCCAAGTGAACGTAATCATCCGTCACATCTCCGAAGTGGTCTTGAAATGTAACTGATGATGAAGTGGAAAACTCCATGGAGCCTAATCAAGACGTTGTGCATAGAGAAAATGAAAGACAAGCACACTTATAGTCAAGAGAACACCAGAAACTGGCTGTAAGCCTGAACGAGTCTGGAATTCTGGATCCATTAAAAGGAGACAAAAAAAAACACACTATACACTGTAACTCAATAATCACGAAATGAAAGGCATTCATGTCATTTTTTGGAAACCAATAACTCAGAATCTAGAATTTGGTGAGCACAACCACAGCCAAGTAAATCTGGAACAATAAGCAAGGTTAACTGTATCAATTGAAGTATTATATCAACTGAAGAATTCAAGCTGTTACAACTCGTAACTGTTCTATCTATCTATTCAGTGAACTAAAGCCACAAATATCCAATACGCCTTACTACTACGCAGTGAAGTCTTATACTCTTATACTTCACAAACAAAAAGACGTGAACAGTACTGGTTCATTTCTGGTGAAGCCAACTGAAGTTGTAGTGCAGTAAGCGTGCCATGACAAGTTGTATCAACAGATAACCATGCCCTCAAGCAGAGAGCTAGAAATCCCTCCTACCACAGGGTCCTCAAGCAGAGAACCAGGAACCCCCATCCCTAGACAAACCTTGACTGGCGGCTAAGAAAGCAGCAGACATGAGAACCATTGGTGCCCAGAGAAGGCTTCAGCTCATCGCATGGACATCAGTACGCGCCTTTGGGCAACTACCTTGGAAGGCTGAGCAGCCTTTGGAGTTTCCTTCATATGACGCCTCACCATCTTTTCAATCTGCTCTATTGAACTTGACAGTTTCCTCTCCAGATCAGCAGGAGATGGATCATTTGGCTTGGATGGAGCCATCTGCAAGGAGCAGTCCGATGGAGAGCAAGATGCCCCTTGCCTGTCCTCAGCCACAGAAGTCACTCTGTTCGCAACAGCTGAAGTTGAGCCAGGACCAGAGGCAACAACACCCAGTGTTTCTTGAGTTTGTGTGCTTTGAGAATCAGGATCACTATGCTCTGCATGTACTGGAGTTGTTGGATCCACAGGCTGTGGAGAATCTTCATTCCATTGGATATGTTGCCGAGCCGCATCCTCCTCTAGGCGATTTCTTTTCTCAAGAGCCTGTAAATTGCAATTAGTACAGCAGCATATCTCAGGGGATACATAATGCATCAAAATTTGGTATGTGTACATTTTTTCCTACCTATAGTTAACAGTGGACAAGCAATTTTCGAGTGCCTCAACAAACAAAAGCATGGACTGTCTATACTAAGTGAAATGTGTTCATATGAGGCAAGTAACTGTCTACAGAGAAACAAACAAACTCTGCTGAGCTTGAAGCAAATTTTGCTACAAAATCTACATTAACTGTCAATGTGGTAAGCAACAATGACTCCGTGGCGTGTTTATACTAATTCTTTATATGGCAACAGTATAATTACTTATCCACAGGGAAAAATTCCAATCCAGTGGATACGTACTGGATTAGCCTTCAAAGACTCAAATCAAGAAAAGTACATTGCACAGTATGCAAAGATGCTTTACATTGTGTATAAGCGAAAGCATAAAGATACTTCCATAGTTTTAGCATTGAAAATGGCTGAACCAGTAAAACTTCAGAACTAAAGAAAAGATACCAAAATATAATGTACTAACAAATATCTTGAACGTACTGAAGAACAATATGCACACTCTACAGATAAAGCAGAACTGAAGTTGCAAATATCCTGAGTAGATTCATGAATGTTGAATTTATTACATGTTAAATGAATGGGCATCTCAGAAGCGAGGAAGAGAGACAACATGGGTTTGGTAGGCTGCTGCAAATAAGATCCTCTATCCAAGCATTCGATAGAAATGTACGTTGGTCTTCAAGTATACTTAACTGATATAGTAATATACTACATATGGTGACATATATGAGATAAAAGTATTGGTTTGAGTCTCGAGGGAGCATTAGACCTTTCTCTGGTTTTAAGCACATTTATATTGCTGGCTACATAAACTGAGAATTGCAAGATCCAAGCAGACAGAACAAAAGGGTGCTGATTGGCCTAAGACAATCATTGCTAATCCATTTGAACTACGCTGACTTCTATGTTAATCACTTATCACTGAACTAAGCATAAAAAGGCTTGTTTAACCTGCAATTTCATGCTACTGCCATTCTCAGTCAAGTCATGGTGACACAATATTAGTTCTAGCATTGTGAAGTTATGGCATAACATTAGCACAGAACAGACACAATATTTAAGGAATTTATACAACATCCCAATATAGTCTAGGGAAATAGGTCACCACCTTTACGATTGATGTGATGTCACGGAGTGGGGTCCTTGGGTACCAGTCAGGTAGGGGGCTCCTCCTCTTTGGTTTAGCCCTCGCTGCACCCGCGGGTGGCACATTCTCCTTGTTGCTGAAATGTGTTCGGACCCGTTGAGCCAGCGGCTTGACGGCGCCCTTCACCACCAAAGCTCCTGCTGATGCCACCCTCCTCCTCCTGATAAAAAAGCCACCAGCAGAGTTGCTGGCAAGCGCCGGCCTGCTGGCAGTCCTCAGTTGAGGCATTTTGTAGTCCTGCGAGAAGTTTGTATAGCGCATATCGGTGAGACAGTGATTCAAGAACCAACCAGACAATGAATCAGCAGATCAGTAAATGGACCAAGAAATCATAATTTCTTACAGTTCTGCTCTCGTTCTGCCCCGATTTCTACTGCTCTTCTCCTGGATCTACGCAAGGAATTCTTCGTGCCCTGAGCGCTGTTGCTCTTCCCCTGGATGCATGAAATAAATTCAGAGAGCACGTGATGTGAGCAACCTATTCACCAAAACATACGCACCTACTGCTCGGCTTCCGCCTCTCCGCGATTTCTCCCAATGTCAGCGCGATCCCTACGACTCTAGGACACCTGCAAGAAAAACGCAAGGCAAACGAGAGCAACAGTTCAGACAAGAGCTTCAAGAAAACCATGCAAATCCCAGTCGCTCTACTCATATTCCCACCTCAATCCCCCATCCTTCGCAGGTATTCGAACCAAAATAACCCATCAAACACGTCAGAACAGAGAGGCGGAACCAACAAAATCCCCTGTGAAATCCTTCGATTCTCACCTCGAACAGGTTCCCTCAGCTCCTGATCCCGCCTCCGAATCCTTACCCTTCCGCAGATCTGCGATAACAGAACCAACAAAGAAGAACCGCATCACCAAACCGCTCGAAAAGATGCAAGAACAGCCGACGGAGAACAGCAAGGATTCCTCACGATTTGCTCCGCTCACTCTGAGCCGCGGCAATCCGGTCCCCGCGACGGCTACTTGATACGATACAGCCCTGATTGGGGTGGGATTTCTGGGTAGATTCCCTAGGGTTTGAGCCTGGATGGAGATGGCTGCTGGCCTCTCCGCCTCTCTCTACTGAGCGGGATGTCCGTTTAAACCTATTTGAAATGGCGAGGCAGAGATAGCCGGTGCACCGTGTACGGTACCCTTGGTGGACCCCGAGTCACATCTGGACGTTCGTGTGGTGAAGCGCGATCGATGGACGGACAGGATGGATCCGGTGTATGGACCAAGCGCGTGCGGTTGAAATGGCGGGTCTGAAATGGTAGAGCCGCGGAGGTCGACACAGCCGGTGTACGGCGCGTTTGGTGGATCGTGATCCCGCTTCGAATTTTTGGACCGTTGGCCTTGGGGAGAGGGCGAGAGGGTTAAGCCCCAGATTTTCCGCTCTCTAGAGCAGCAGGCAGGAGGAGGAGAAGCTCAAAAAAAAAAAAAACTAGCTTCACCTGGCTCAATCATTTGTACTGGTGGTCCAGGAGAAAATGTCCCTCGGCCGAAGTGCGGGCGGCGAGGGAGGCGGAGGCGTCGGCAGGCTGAAGCGTCGCCGTGGGGGCGGAGCTAAGGCGGAGTAGCTCCATCAGGGCGGGACAGCTCCAGTACGGACCTGAGGCGGAGTGGCGCGGGCGTGGTCGTCGAACGCAACAACGGCGAGGCGGAGCGCAGGAGCAGGCGCAACTGCGAGGAATCATGTCGGCGCGGGCAAGCTGCCCGGTGGCCTGAACCTGGCCGGCAGGGGAGCGCTGCCCAGCAACAGACCACGCGCTCCACGCCGCATCTGCTGCGCTACCGCTCGCCACTTGGCCCTGCCCACGGCCACTCCGCTCCTGCGCCGCTCTATCCCCGCCGCTCGGCATGGAAAAAGGAAGGGACGAAGGGGATGGTAATCGGATAGATGTGGTGCAAACGAAGGCAATATATTACAATATTTTTCCCTAAAAACAATAAGGACTATCCGATTATGGTTCTCTCTCTAATGAACTCAAATTACTAATAGAAGTCAAATAATTAGGTCTAATAGATTTCGGTATTGTAGGTATTCACCATATTTCATCTATTCTAGAAAAATAGGAGCTCTTTTGTCAATTTTTTTTTTAGAAATGCTTCAACTTCTTCAAAGAAGCTACTTATTCAGAGGAGCTTGAGCTGGAGCCGTCTTTGAAGGAGTTGGAGCCCGCCAAACGGGTTCTTTGGTTGGACTTTCGAAGGATGCTTTTGCTTTTAAAAAGCTAAATGCCAATCAAAGGGTAAGAATCAGAACCTTTTTTTTAGAAGTAGTTGTTTTTTTAGTAAATTTTGAAAGGATCTTTGACCGTGCTTTTGGCTTTTGGCTTTCTGCTTTTGAAATAGTAAAAATAGAGAGTTGTTTCAAGAGAGATAAAGATAAAAGGTAGGTTTTATACTTGTTTGAACCAAACAAATTATAGTTTTTTTATAGCCCACAACCCACAATATCTTTTCCATAGCCTATAGCTCACAATAATTTTTTCAAAAGCCACAACTCAACCAAGCACACCCAAGAGCATCTCGAACTAGACTCATAAAACTAGCTCCTATCTTATTTTTAGAAAAACATCCAGCAGCAGGGCTCTTATTCCGTCCCACAAAAAAATTTAGGCCCTCAAATCCCTCCCTCAACCCTCATTCCTGAAAGGATTTGATGGGCCTCTAAATCTGTGGAGGCCCTCAAATTCCTCCTTCAAACCCTCATTTCTAAAAGAATTTAAAGGGCTCTTAAATATGTTTTCCTACTGTTAGAAGCCTGCCCAGATACGAATTCATCTCCTGCCTGCCCCCTTGCTCTCTCGTCAGTGCCGCCATTGCTAATGGCCGCTCCAGCTGATCCTCGAACCTTAGCTTGGTGTCCGCCGGGACCTTCCTTTGTTCGGACACCTTCCTGTGCTCCCTGACGTGTATTCGCCATCCACCGCGCCAGCCAGGTCTCCAGTGTTGGCTACCTCCTCACCGGCGTCCACGTTAGCCCTTCCTGATGTGCCCTCCATAGGCGCGGTGACCTCCTCCCATGATTTCAACTCTAACCCGGCGCTGCCTCGACTCTATAAAGCGTTGAACGTTGAATGGAGATCGACGCCGTCGTGGGTTACTTGGCATGCTAGAGAGTATTGATTGTATGCATTAGCACTAGGAATGTTGTCCTTATGTATGGAAGGAGATATATACCCATGGTGATCATGGTGTACCTATGGTCATTCTAGAGGCAGTAGCTTCGCAAGATCATGGTTTATGGCATGTCTTTTTTGGTGTTGCTAGATCCAACAATGACATCAACATGCTTAACCAATCAGATTTGTTTGTCGAGCATCCAGGAGAAGAAGCTCCTAAGGTGCAGTACTATGTCAATGGAAGGCAATATAATAATGGTTATTACCTAGCAGACGGTATATATCTGAGTGGCTTGTTTTCTTTAAGTCAATACGTGAGCCACAATCAGATAAGCATAAACTTTTACACAAGGCAAGAAGGGCCAAGGAAGGATGTTGAATGAGCCTTTGGCATTTTGCAATCTGAAAGGTCCTAATATGGCTAGAGGGGGGGTGAATAGCCTATTTGAAAACTACAAATCAACTAGAGCAATTTGATTAGTATGACAAATGGCGTAATGCAAACTTGCTCTAGCTCTACAAGGGTTATAAACCACCTATCCAACAATTCTAGTTGCAATGATTACTTAGGCACACAAACTTGCTATGTAACTACTCACTAAGAGCTCTCAATCTTGCTACCCTAAAGAGCTCAACTAGATGAATGTAAATAATGAAGCAAGCTCTCAATTCTAATTACACTAAAGAGCTTGTATCAACTAGTTTGCAAGAAAGTAAATAAGTGAGTAGGGTGATTATACCGCCGTGTAGGGGATGAACCAATCACAAGATGAATATATATATCCAATCACCGGGAGAATGCCAAAGACAAGAGACACTCGATTTTCTCCCGAGGTTCACGTGCTTGCCAACACGCTTACGTCCCGTTAGTGTCGACCAACACTTGGTGGTTCGGTACTAAGAGGTGTTTCACAAACCTCGTCCACACGATAGGACACCGCAAGAACCGACCCACAAGTGAGGTAACTCAATGACACGAGCAATTTACTAGAGTTACCTTTCGGCACTCACCGGGAAGGTACAACTCCCCTTACAATCACCGGAGATGGCCACGAACAATCACCAACTCGTGCCAATCCTCCACCGTTGCTCCAAGCCGTCTAGGTGGTGGCAACCACCAAGAGAAACAAGTGAAATCCGCAGCGCAACACGAATGCCAAGTGCCTCTAGATGCAATCCCTCAAGCAATACACTTGGATTCTCTCCCAATCTCACAATGATGATGGATCAATGATGGAGATGAGTGGGAGGGCTTTGGCTAAGCTCACAAGGTTGCTATGTCAATGAAAATGGCCAAAGATGTGAGCTATATAGCGCCATGGGGCTTAAATAGAAGCCCCTACGAAATATAGCCGTTATACCCCTTCATCACTGGGCATAACGCGGATCGACCGGACGCTTCCGGTCCCGGTTGACCGGACGCCGAGCCCCAGCGTCCGGTCAGCTCATCAGTCACCACGTGTCGACTCCAACGATCATCTGCCTCGACCGATCGGACGCTCGGGTCGTTGACCGACGCCGAGCCCCAGCGTCCCCGGTCGTTTCAATAGAAGGGTCCAAAACCGATTTTTATCGACCGGACGCGTCCGGTCATCTTGACCAGACACAGCCCAGCGTCTGGTGCATAACCCTAAGCACTGTGCAGACCGGACGCAGCCCTTCAGCATCCGGTCGCCGAGCGACCTAGCGTCCGGTGCATCACCGACACTAGCGGTCTTCTCTGCCACGCCTGATCGGACGCCCCGGTCCACCCAAGACCAGCGTTCGGTCATAGTGAAAACAGTGAGATTGAGTTCCTTTCTTCTCTATCTCCTTCACCCTTGCTTAAATGTGCTAGCCACCAAGTGTATCACCTTGTGCACATGTGTTAGCATATTTTCACAAACATTTTCAAGGGTGTTAGTGATCCACTAGATCCTAAATGCATATGCAATGAGTTAGAACATCTAGTGGCACTTTGACAACCGCATTTCGATACGAGTTTCACTCCTCTTAATAGTACGGTTATCTATCCTAAATGTGATCACACTCGCTAAGTGTCTCGATCACTAAAACAAAATGGCTCCTACAGTTTATACCTTTGCCTTGAGCCTTTTGTTTTTCTCTTTCTTCTTTTCTAAGTTTAAGCATTTGATCATCACCATGCCATTACCATCGTCATGATCTTCGCCATTTCTTCATCACTTGGAGTAGTGCTACCTATCTCATAATCACTTTGATAAACTAGGTTAGCACTTAGGGTTTCATCAATTAACCAAAACCAAACTAGAGCTTTCAATCTCCCCTTTTTGGTAATTGATGACAACCCTTATACAAAGATATGAATTGAAATTCAATTGAGTCCATGTTGCTTGTCCAAGCATATTCACAATGTGTAAAAGAATATGGACAAGTTTCATGAACTCCAAATAGTAGCAATTGCTCCCCCTACATATGTGCTAAGAGTTTGGATTGTAGCTTTCACATATTCTTTGATAGGAAGTGTAGGAGTCAATTTCTACCAAATGATGCTAAGGTATAAGAGATGGACCTTTGAAGCGTGATACCAATCAGAGTGCACCAATATACCATCCTTAGCACCATTGCTAGCTAGATACCACTTGGATATACTTGAAGCACCATGGTTAGCTAGATACCACTTGGAGATGCTATTTTTAAAATGAAATCACTAGGTAGCCTATACATGCTAGATTTTCATTTCATCATTCGAGCTTACAATTAACATACATCACACAAGCATGGATATTGAAATTTAATACTTGTGCTATGCAATTCAAATATATGAAATGCACATTCAAATGCAACATACAAGTTCATGAGCTTGCTCCCTCTACTTGTGTGCTAAAAAATTTTAATTGTTCCCCTTTCTTTGTCATATTTCTCTCCCCCTATCTTACTATCTTTGTGAACTCTCTCCCCCTTTGTCATCAATGACCACAAAGGCTTAAAATAGAGATAGGGTAGGATTATCGATGTTAACAATTAGCACAAATGTGAGCTCAAATTATAGATAGGTTGGGGTGAAACCATGTGAAATGAGGATCATTTTCAAATTTGGTTCAATCTAGATTACTTAGAAAAGATATTTAACTCGGTTTGATCCAAGGACAAGCTTCTTCACACCTCCAATAAGGGTTATCTTGTACCATGTTGAGTTAAACACTTAGAGTTTGTCTTTTAGATCAAACACTAGGTTTACAAGCCCATAAACATGTCATATGCTACCACTAGATCATTTCAAACATACAAGCAATAGTGGTACCATACAAGCATCAAATTCATTTGATTTTTATGAATGAGCCTATTTAAATGTGAAATATGTCTAGATGCACTAAACATGTCCTTAGCAAGAATGTATGCCATGCCAATCAACTTTTACCTTGAATTGCTCGAAGGAGAGGCATGTCATATAATGGGGGTGCATCAACACATATTGAAGAAGTCAAGTATGTTCAATTCATTCCTTAGCTTGCAAAATCTCTTCTCATCAAGTGGCTTGGTGAAGATATCGACAAGTTGATCTTCGGTGCCCACACTCTCAATGCAAATGCCCCCTTTTTGTTGGTGATCTCTTATGAAGTGATGACGGATATCTATATGTTTTGTTCTTGAGTGTTGAACTGGGTTGTTGGTGAGCTTTACGGCACTTTCATTGTCACATAGCAATGTCACTTGATTGAACTTGATTCCAAAATCACTCAAAGTAGCCTTCATCCAAAGTAATTGTGCACAAC